CTATGCATCACAGTACCTCAGGCAAACCCATCAGATGTTTTCAACACATCCTCAGAGGAAAATATTTTAAATTCTGCAAGATCTGTGTCCAGATGAAAAGTCAATAACAGATAATGTATTCTGGACACAGAAATATAGCTTCACCTGGGGGGATAGGAAGTATAAGTTGCTTTGGAATCTCAGCTAAAGGGCCCCAGACTTTATTAAACCTGGAGTTGAGAGTGTGTAGGTGTTGGATTACACACATCAAATAGGAAGGGAATGATTTCTGGGGGCACTTAGGAGAGATTTTGAATTATGGTACTTATCAGGCCCTGGGGAGCATTTTGGCAAGTTTTTGAAATGCACTCATGAAATCCTCATGCACTTTTGGAAACAGCTACAATGGCTGAAACATGGATGCTCAAAGGACTCTTTACTGCTTCATCTCGTGTCATTTTCAGCGCAAAAGCAGGGCTTCTCAGAGCAGCAGCATGTCCACCCTGTAGAGCACAAGTCTCTGCTGTGTGCTGCTGACAAATCTGTGGGGCTGTAACAATGCTTCTTCAGCACTGTCTGTAACTTGGAATGAAATCCTGGCCACATTCACATCACTGCAAAAATTCAAAAGGGTTTACAGGACCAATAATTCATTTTCTTGTTTTGGGTGATTTGGGTGGCTTCTCAATTCATTGTTATCTGAGCTAAAGCAAGATGTAAACAATTAAGATATAAAGAATGTATTCAAGGAGAAAAAACCTTGTTCTGAGAGCTGTCATGCAAAATACAAGCACATTGGTACATGATTTTCTAAAGATAATGAGAGGGGCTCTCCATCTCCAGAAATTCTCAGAACAGGTTAGACAAACATCTGTCAGAAATGGTTAAGCTGAAGTTATGTTACATCAGGGAGGGCAACTAACTGATATCTGGAGGCCCTTCCCAGCCCCATTTCCCATTACACTCCCTCTCTAGGCAAGCACATGAACATTTCTGGGAGAGGAGGTCCCCAGTGAGCATCAGCAGCTCAGCATTTAAGTAACTCAGAAGAGGAACTATTCATGTTCACTCTCCTGTGAGGTCTCTTCAGAGCTGTGTTGTAGCTGGTTTTATTGGGTAAAAACGTCTCTTCTGTCTCCCAGTTTAGAACAATATTCCATCATTAAGCTCTCTAAAGGAGGTCCAGGAATTTCAAGAAGACATTGGTTCAGTGATTTTACCTAAACATTTTAGTTTAGAACTAGAAGTATTCTCCAGGTCTGGCTAATAAAAATTAAAGAAAAACAATGTGAGGTTGAAACATAGGTACTCTTCATACAATGAGTATGAGTTGCATGAGCTGGAGAAGGCATCAAATTCTACAGGAGAACTTCTGGAATAGCAGTTGGCATAATATTAGTCACTAAAGCACTGCCATCTTCTAACAACAAGGTTCTGCATGGAGCTTCATAGATTAAATTTCAGTTCTTGATAAAGTGAAGTTTTGACCTTTGTACTGTGTTTCTGTAAGTGAAAACACCACTAGACTCCCTTGCTGATTGACCTGAATTTATGGTCCAGAGCAGTGTTTTCGCTTGAAGGTGCACCTTGATAGGTTTAAAGCTGAAGTAGAGGAAATTTCTACAGACAGTACATATTAGATTTGCTGCATATCTAGGGCAGACAAACCACAGAACATAGCAGCTGACTGTACTATCCAAAGTAAAAAAAAAAGTGTGTCATCAAACAAGATTTTATTTGATTATGCTTTAGCTTTATCTAACATGCCAAGAAAGAAAACAGCAACCAAAGTCCTAATGAACAGTTGTGTCAGAAATTTAACTTTAAAAAATCTATCTTTTTTAACCAGCAACTTGATAATTAAAAATAATTAAATTCAGCAATATAGCAAGAACTAAGCTAATTCTGTCAAACCAGTGGTCTGTTTAAACTTTTTTGGATTAATCCCCAACTTTTGCAAATTCAGCTAAAACTGAAAAGCACAAAAATATCTACAAAACTAATTGCATTGCCTAACTCTACTATCTGCTCTCTAATCCAAAAATGTAGAAACCAGGGTGAAGACTGAATGGGCATAAAATTTTTATTTTTTATTTTTTCACATCTTTTTTTCTTGTGAAGCTGCCTGAAGCTAGTAACACAAAGTTAGTAAAAGCATAGTAACTTTATGGTTAGCATGCTTACTGCAGAGCTGTCCAGGCTGCTGTAATCTAACCCAGGGGAGCTTTTCTGTATTTTACATTAATAGTTTATTGGATTAAATGTGAAGCATGTCCATGTACAGCCAGAGCAATGAAATGATCACATCACATTCACGCATGTGAGTTGGCTTTCATCGAGTTCATATATTTCTCTGAATTTAGTTGTTGGATTATAGGACTTCCCCTGCACTTACCTAGCTACCTCTCTAAGTAAAATGTTGACATACCTGAAGCAATACTCCAGGAAACAGGAAACTGTTTTTCTCCCTCTTTTGTAAATATTGACTCAGAAGAAAGACTCCTCAGCTATGGATAAGGTCGTATTTTTAGGAAACATATTCCCACAGGGCCAGAAAGTTATGTTAATACAGCATACAACTGATTGTTGTGTGGTTTTAAATTATTGCTGAAGTTTTCAAGATAAGGATTTGCTCATAGAAACCTTCCACTGGATATTTCAAAAGAAATTGTTTAATTATAATAGCTCTATTCAAGTCAAAGTTCTTCCCCATTTTTCCCTCTGTCATACCTACCAATCCTAGAGCTAGACACTGGGGTAGCAAGAAGGCAGTCTTTAAAATCTGACTAATGATGAAGCTACTTGATACAAGCAGTGCAGAAGGAAAGCCATTTGTATTATCATGTTATTGAAAAGAATACATTAAGGTTGTTTTTAAGATTAGGCAGATAAAGTATTAAGGGTATGAAGACCTTAAAAGGAAGCAGCAGTAACTCACATGGCAATAAAGCCCATTTTATGATAAATTGGCCTTTGAAAGAAAAACAGCTACTTTTTAGACAAGCTACATGCATTTTTATATACTGAGACACATTTGGTTTTCTCATTAGCAAGTACTATTTAGAATCCTGCATCCCTACATCACCACATTCATAAAGGCTTAAAAAAATTAAGGTGCAAACATATGTCTAGGAAAAATTTATCTGTTTTTCATGACTCTTTTTTCCATCAAAATGCAGTAACTGAATAGCACCAGCAATGACCCATGAAGTATCTTTCTGAAAAGTGCTAAATCTATTCTGTTCCATGAAACTAGACAGTAGCACATTTCTATGCAGCTTTACAATAGCTTTTTGGATGACTTTGAAGTGCCTGGTGCAGAGTCAAAAACAAACAAAAAAATATCCCTCCACCTTGATATTCTTGCCAAACTAACTAGAGCAACATCAAGAGCATCCACAGCTGACTCTGAATTCAATTAGACACCATGTAGGCACAGTTCATTCCATAAGCAATTGAGAAACTGCTTCCTGAAGCCAAAAAGGTCAAACAGAAAATGACTAAGGCTTCCTGCAGCTTGGAGGTGAAAACAAGTTTATCACACATGCCTTCTGCATGGTCTGCCCAGCTGCTGCTTGTGCTCCCTTGCCCCCCCTAAGCCCAGCTGCTTGCTGCCTATTAAGCGCATCTCAGCTTCTCCTTGGAGTTCTCCTGACTTGCTATGCTTCACTGCCAGCTTGTTTGCAGTCAAAGCACCAGGTGGCTGTTTCTCTGCAGTGCCAGCTCTGGTTGCTGGGCTGAACACTAATATCAGCCAAAATGGTTTGCCATATGCTTCAGAGGGAGTAGTGCTAACCATGAGTGTTAAAACGTCATGAGATCATGTCAAAATTATGAGAACTAAAAACAAAACAAACAAACAGAAAAATCACATGGGATTTTCTGCATGTTTTAGTGTGAAAATAAAGTCATATTGTCCATGGTTTTATCCTCTGCCCCTCAGCTTAGAAAGTGTCCCAGAAAAATACCATTGTTCTGGTCAGTCCCAGGAGCAGCCACATCTCAGGAGCTCAGGGCTTCACAGCTTTTACAACTGAGACCACCCAAGCCATCCTACCACACCTTGAGATACTTGTATGCATAATTAGTATGCGCTAAATTCTTAATCACTCTAGCAACTCTTGATGCACTCACTATATCTGTAACTGAAAAGCTTTTTTTCTCTCTGAACACCAGTGACGTGGCTGATATTCTGCCTTTCTGAATAAAGCCTGTCTTGTATTTCTTCACCTGTAACCAAAATTTCAAACCAGACATGTCTCTGACCAAATATCTGCCCTACTGGGCCAAAACTGTCTTCAAGTTCTCATACATGCCAGAATTTCTAGAATTAAGATGCTGCAAAATTCCAGATTCTTTCTCAACTTGTGAGCAATCTCGGTTCTGCTGAAGTCAATGAGATTTTTCCCAAGGATTAAATATTGTCATAATTTCACCTGGTATTGACATGAAGCAGAAAGCATGCAGCTTAGCATGCAGATGTTTAGTGAAGAAACTGAAAGAAGAAAAGGCAATCCTATTTTATATTTTTCAGTAATGTCAAGGTAAAATGTGAAATGAGGGCTACTAGGGAAGAATAAAACTCATGAAAAGGAGATGCTAGTTTCACAAGAATGCTTTTCTGAGCACAACTGACTAAATACAGCATATTGATGATAATATACCCTCCTATATGCAAAGGAGTCTTCAAGCATACTGCAAATGCACACAGCATTACTGATTTTCTTTACTGATGACAAATTAACAAAGCACCTTCCTGAAATGAATTTAATGGAACTACCCCAGGGGGTTTCAGAAACAAACTTTTTACATATAGGAACTGTAGACTATGATGACACATATAGCAAGTAATTGCTCACCACAATGTTAACTTCCATTTCACTTGCTGATGACTAACACAGACTATGCAGTTTCTGTGCATTTAGCACTGTGTATTTGTGAGACAGCAGAAAAAAGTTCACACTATGAAACACTTATGACAGACAACTTATTTTTATTTCTTATACAAATAGATGCTTTGTAATACTGCATTTTTTAATAGCTGCAAGCAATTTCATTATATTATTCTGTCTAAGATACAGGACCCAAGCATACGTAATTGAAGACAAAGAAAACTGAAAACACACTTGACAGAATTAACAGGTAAATGAAATCAGTAAATGCAACAGCCACATCCCTTCATTTGATGTCTGTGCTAAAGCATCTTCTAAAGTTCCAAGCAGACAGCACACACCAGATAAAATATTTTAAACAGCAAGTTTGTTTCAGTAATCCATATGGGTAACTAACACTTCATCATAATATATGAAATTCCTTTAGGTGCTTTATTTTTTGCATGCATGCACCACTCCTTATTACGTTCCCCTTTTTAATAGAGTCTTTATTTGTTTTAAAGATCAAAGTAGATAAATTCAATACAAAGCTATGCAGCACAAGCAGCACCTGTTTCTGCTACCCACACACACTCTTTCACTCATTCCCCTGTCTGACCTCTCTCTGCAGGTGACTATGAGTGAACAGCTAACTCTCTGTGAGACCTGAATGGGACATACACATGGGCAGATGCAGCAAATACTTCAATGTTTATTAATCTAAAAAAGAGCAAAGATTACAAAAATATAAGGAGTACAAAACCTTAGACAAGTTAAAATACATACAATCTTTAGGCAAAGTTTGTTTTGGTCAGGCAGAATTTAGTTTATCAAATGTCAATCCAAAACAACAGGGGTAGAAACTAAACAAAATATTATAGTAAATTTATACTAAAAGGTGATAGTTACCCTTCTTTCCTAAGGCCACTCTCCCACAGTAAATACTCTCCTTCAGTGCATTACAGCATCCACATATCAGAGCAGTTCCACTCATGTGCTGCTGATACTAGAAAAATAACTTTATTTAATTTTTTTTTATGTATAAACTAATGCAAATTTTCAGGTGTAGTTTTGATCACCATAATTTTGTTTTTATTAAATTGTTCTTCAATAATCCCACTGATTTCACTAACCTGTGAAATCAAACAGAAAAACACAGAAATTAGGGTTCAAATGTAATATACACAAAAATAGGAAAAAAGGGAAAATTAATCCTTCACTGTGTTTTCATTTTGCAACAGTTTTCCATTATGCTGAATTCACAGTAAGCAACGTGGATCAGTATGTTGGTGAATCTCAATTCTTTTTTTTTTTGCTTCTAAAATACTCAGAAGCAAATAACAGTGTCCTTGGTTAAACTGTTTGTTGCAATTATTCAGTGTTTTGGAGAGTTTTTTTCTGCACTTTTTCAATTGTGGTAATAGATTGCAAAAATAACCCGTGTTTCAAAAAACATTGAACACAATATGCACCTGTGATGAATCAGATAAGCTGAGATAGTAATGCTTTAATTTCTGGTTGTGTTCAGGTTGAAAACCTTCCTCAAAGCAAATGGAAATCTAGGTTTTACAAATATTTACAGATGCATATTACACTGGACTGTTTTGCAAATGTTGCTGACTGCAACACAACCTGCCCTCTCCAGTATTTGTATAAAATGTAATGCTGTAACTGGACCTATTACTTAGATCCAGTTAGAGAATCAAGGTTATAAACTGGAAATAAACACCACAACGACATTTAATTGCACAGGTGAATGCATAAAGGTCCATGTGTTACCTGACAAGCCTTCAACTTGCCATTTTTAAACACTGAAGGAAATCTGCCACTGCAGCTTCACTCCTTTTCAACATTTAAATATGCAAGCCCTTTCTGGGAGATTTAAGAAACTTGGGAGGAACAAATTCTTCCCATTATCTCCAGCTAATTAATTAAATACAATTGGAATAATTTTCACATTGTCAGGTGATAAGCCTGGACTTTGTATGTGATTCTCTATTGATAATCAACAAAGTAAGGTACATACCATGAAAACCTCTGCAACAGCAACAACAACAACAACAAATGAACCAGCCAAACAAACAAACAAAAAACAAGACATAAAGCCTAGGAAATCTTAGCAACAGTCCTTATCCTTTATTACCCTTACATGGTTGGGGGCCTTTTGTCATTTATTCTTAATATTTAAATGTTTTCCTTGGAGGTGCTTCATTTTGCAGATATTCAAGCTCTATCACAGTTTGATCATTAAACAACGAACTTGTCGTATGGTGGGATAAAGAAGAGCAAATATGTGTAAGCCTGTTTCAGTTGCAGATTCTTATTGTGGCGGTTACCCACAGAAAACACAGGGATTGGTGTTCTTAACTGTAGAAGTTAGGAAGTTAACCATATGTTAATGTCTTTGAGTAAGGCAAATTCCAACCAGGGTTTCCCAAACCCTGGGTCATTTTTAATCATCCTCTGAAATCCCCTGAGTAATCCCTATCTGTCTTAATGGTAAGACACCTAACCCACAGGTTTTTTACTGATATGATGTGGAATAATTACTTTGCTACTTAACTTCTAAGGTATTCAAGAAATGGTCTACTCTTGTGACAGCATTATGCTGAGAGCTCACACTGAGATGATCTTCTATGACCATCCTAAATCCATTAGGTCACTGCTTTCCAGGACAAAGCCTCATAATTCTGCAGCAGAGACAGATATGTTTCTCTGGTGCCAGATATATTTCATTTGGTTTGAATATATTTCATCTGGTTATAATAAAGTGCATTTTACTGGAATGTGGCCATTATACCAGGGGATTCATATCATTTAATAACTTCAACTTGTCCTTCCCACCCATTATCCAAACCTATCAGACCCTAATGAGCCCCATTCATCTACATCTTCCCATTAGAAATTCCAGTTTTGATTCCTCATTGAGCCAACTTTTAATTTACCTAATGTGTGTCCTGATAATTCTCTAGGCCATTTTTTAAATTACAGTGTCATTTTTTATTACATTAAATGTCTTTGGGAATCCAACTTTAGCATTATAAGGCAAGCTGTAGGAAAAGATATCTGTAGGTTTGGAAGCTGTGCTGAAAAGAGCTTTCTGCACTAAAAAAGGTTTTGATTTTTTTACTCACTGCAATGGAAAATTCCCTTCTCATACTAAATATTTAGTCCAATATGAACTTTTCCAAAGTGAAACCAAATATTAGTCAGTATAAATAAAGCAACATGCCTTAAAGCCTTAATAATATAAGAAGATAACAGCAGCTTTGGATTTAAGAACATCCATTACAAAAATTGGAAACTTGAGTCTAACTCCAACTTTCCCTAACTGTATTTGAACTCACCATTCACTGTCCAACAGTCATCTTACTTCTGGTAGAAATAATGTCAATCTCAACTTTTATTTCACCATCAATAAATAATTAAACCCAAGTGGGCAGGTTCCCATGCCAGAAAATTGTTTTCATCTACTTTCAGACTCAAAAAGCAGTTATATGAAGTGATGCAGTTTCAGCTATGAGTGTCACATGACAACCAGACAGGACCATCCAATAGGCCTGCAGAAATTCTGTTTACAGGAGCACAATCCTTTCTGGTATTCTATTTCTGAAGTGGACATAGAACTGTCTTAAGCTAAATATGTAGCTGAGCCAACGGCAGGCAGAATGAGCAACAACGTATTCTCTTTAATATACATAAATGCATACTGGAGAAATTTAGAAAACAACTCATATCCCAAGCAGACAAAAGCTTTATGACACCCTTTGCAGAGGTGGAACAGGGAGATATGACTTTTTTACTGCAGTTTGTATTACCACACTTGAAATATTAAATGGAAGAAAGACACCAATAAGTTTTTCCAGAAGATTCATGAATCGTGATAAAATTCTCCCAAAAGTTCACTTTTGGAACAGATTCATTTGTGAGACAAAAAAAAAAAAAAAGAAGTGTGCATAGTGAATTTATTATCCACTGAGAAAAACTGCCAACTAACAACAGTTACGTTCTTACTAACCAGACACATAATTGACTAACACTTGAGTGATGTCTCATAAGTGCCTTAATCTCTAGAGAAACCACTGCCCTAAATTCATTATAAATATAAATTCATAAATTATCCCTGCCCTAAATTCATACCCACTGAAAGAGATGTTTCCAATACAGCTATGTTCCATCAGAGCAGAGCACAAATACAAACAGCTGAATTTGAATGACAGAAACGGAATGTGTTTGTGTAAATGTTATAAAGTTTGTAATCAACAGCTGTTACTCTAACTCCAATTCTGTCATCCTTATATTGAGGAGCACCTGGCTCTAGCAAAAGCAAACTTCCACAGACAAAACATATTCCAGCAGTAGACCCCTCCTTATTGTTACTCTGGCCAAGCAATTTTCCAAATCTTTGGAACACTTATTTACGTAATTAGGATAAACTGACTGTTTTGGCATGTGAATTTACTCAGTGTAAGGAACTTTACCCATAGACAAATACTGTATGGCTTGGAACTTTATTATAACACAGTCTGAATTTCTCAAGTCTACAAAAACCCCTCATCTTTCATTCTTTTGGGTTTTTTCTAGGCAGATGTGTGCGAATGGGAAAAGAAAGGTTTTCCTCAACACCTGTTGAAGTCATCAACAGAGTGTCTTTGACTGCAGAGTTTCAAGACCAGTGCAAGAATGAATGGAGTAGAAATCCCACTTCTTCCCAACAGTCATTTGATTTATCAGCAGTAGACCTTTCACTGTCAACCTTAGCAAGGAGTTTGCAGATGAAGAGTGGCAAAACATTTAAATTTCCTCCCACAGGTCAGAGGACAAGAGTTCAAGACTTGTCCCGGATCAACTGAGCTAGAAATGAGCATCTAGCGCTCCTTTTGGCAAGCTGGAATGAAGTGATAAGAGACACACAACTTCATGTGCCACTGATTACAGAAACTGGCATGCCTTAAACAGATTAGCACAAAGGAATGTTTTTATGCAGATGATCCTTAAGGTGTCTTCCAGCCCTTAATGTTCTGTAGCTACTTTTAATATAGATTAACCAAGTAGCAAGCTTTTCAAGAGCCTACTATCATGTACATCTGCTAGGTGGACTGACTGAAGGTAGGGATCCTTTACATCCAAGGCTGTGTGACCTCGGGAAATCTGCAGTGTGGCACTCAAGAAAGCAGACTCAGGCTTTTGGGCAGCAAATCCTTGCCAAGACTACAGATGGTAGGTCAAATTACACCAAAATCCCATCTTTGTCTTTTCAAGGTTCTTGGAAGCTAGTGATACTTAAGAAATTTCCAGTCTTTAATCTTTGTAGGACTTGTTCTCAAGGGAAAATTCAAACAGACTCTTGTCAGTTCCCTGAAAGGATGAATTTCTTCTCATAAAAAGGATGAATTTCTTTTCATTTTTGCTGCCTAAAAAATATTCTGGTGGCAGTAGATGCAGTTCTTCTGTTTCTGTGCATCAGTACCCCATAAAGAAGAAAATCTATTCTTGCCAGCTCAAAGAACTTTCATCAAACTGAAGGATTATGTAAGTGGTAAATATTTTCTCCAGATCCCTCCTTTTTCCAAGAATGATCTTTATGCATTCCCTGAAAACTCTTTGCAGAGAATCAGCACACAAGCAAACTACTGCAGATAATAATGGGGAACTGTCTCCAGAATGACAGAGGAAGAACACACAAGGCTCTGTCCAGAGACATTTTTAGTGACTCTAAAAAGAACACCACAGGTCCTTGATTTTGGATCATACTGACAAGACAATTTTCATTTCTCACTGTGTAGAGTTTCAAAGGACAACACAGAAGAGATTTTGTTTCTAAATTATAATATTATATATATAAAATATAAATATAAATAATATATAAAATTATAATACCTCTTAAAATGCATGTGCTAGTTTATCATTTTAATAATAAAATGTACATTTCAAGAGCAAATAATTATATACTATCTCTTTCTCTGACCTATGGCCATGAACTTAATTAAGTGCACAAAGAGGAAAAGGAAAGAGTATGCTAAAATAATCAACCACGCTTCTTAAAAATATTTTTCTTTCCTTCTTTAATATAACAAACCTTTCAAGCTAGAAAAATTTAAACTCTTATATGAGTAGCTATTTGATTTAAAATGTTGTCATAATTAGTATGAAAGTTTAAGAATTGTTGACTTCCAGTTATCATTGAAACTTGCTAGGGATGATTTTTTTTAAATGCTGTCAGAGCGCCTGTAGAATTTAAAATGTAAAGTCTGATTTACAAGAACTGAGAACCAAGATCTCATTTCCATAAAACAAGATATGCACTGTTGTATCTGTTTTGCAAATGATGTTTTTCGAGAGATGTTGAGATTCCAAAGTGACCCAGTTCTTTTCAGTTGTCACTTGCTTTGAAAAGTCCCTCTAAACTCTTATATCTGAATACATTTGAAACTGTTCGCCCCTTATTTTTTCATTCTTTTTCTTGTAAAACTCTAACCGAAGGTATTACTTTTAAAGACCTCCAGGTGACTCACACAGTTTCTCTTTTTGCATTGTTTTCCCACTACCAAAAACTAGCTTTACACCTGGCTGCTATTATCTCAAAGTAGTCAAAGAATGTGGTAAATATTACCCACATGTAATTTATTAAATGCTGAGTCAAAGAACAGGTGTGGCTATTGTAAAGATTAATTTTGTAGCTCTTCTGCTCAAACTCACAAATTATGAACTCCTGAGCCTTCTCAACACTAAATCACACAAAAAATATCCACACAGATTTATTACTTTGTAATCTTGCCAGCTGCTCTACCTACAAGCAGTGGAATCAGCAAGTATGCCAAAGTCCCTTGCTGACTCCACTTTACAATCAGGAACTGGCAGCTTCTCTTCGTCAGCAGTGGCAGTTCTGCACTTTCTTGACAATGTCACTACCACTAACTCAGACAGGGATGTTACCACCATTAGTTACTTTTAATATTTTTTTTCATTATTAGATTTCAGTTACAAGGAGTATTACTTTGATAAAACATTTTTGTTCCATCCCTTTTGTATAGTAATAAAAACAGTGATCTATTATAGAGGATGCACTGGATAACTACACTGAAGTCAGCCTGGGTTCACAAAGGGAAAGTCCTGTTTAACTAATTTGATAGCTTTCTATGATAAGGTCACCTACCTAGTGGATGAAAGAAAGATGATGGATGTGGTTATTCTGTATTTTAGTAATGTTATTGATACTGTCCCTCACAGCATCCTTCAGGACAACTTGTCCAGCTGTGGGGTGAGTGGCTGCAGGCTGTGCTGGGTGAAGAACTGGCTGAATGGCAGAGCTCAAAGGGAGCTCTGGTCACCAGTGGTGTTCCCCAGGGGTCAATTCTAGGGCCAGGTCTGTCCAATACATTTACCAACAACCTGCAGGCAGGAGTTGAATCCATCCTTAGCACATTTGCTGATGATCCCAAAATGGGAGGTGACTCTTGGAAGGACAAGAGGCCTTGCAGAGGGATCTACACAGACTGGAGCACTGGACAGTGATTAATGGCATGAACAAGTCATAACACCAGATTCTCCAGATCAGGAGATCAGATCACTCATCAGGCACAAGAATGAACTGGGAGAAGAGTGGCTGGAGAGCCTCTCTGCAGAAAGGGATCTGGGGGTGCTGGTTGGCAGCAGGCACAGCAAGAACCAGAGGCGTGTCCTGGAAGCCAACAGGACAAACCCCATCCTGGGGTGCATCAAATCCAGAATCACCAGCTGCTCAAGAAAGGTGATTATCCCACTGTGCTCAGCACTGGTGCACCCTCACCTGGAGCACTGTGTGCAGCTCTGGGCACCACAACTGAAGGATGTGAAGGTCCTTGAATGAGTCCAGATAAGGGCAACAAAACCAGTGAGAGGGCTGGAAGGAATGACCTGTGAGGAGCAGCTAAGGACTTTGGGCTTGTCTAGTTCGGAGAAAATGAAGCTGAGCATTGACTTCACTCTTCACAGCTTCCTGAGGAGGGCATGTGCAGAGAGAAGCACTGATCTCTTCTCCCTGGTATTCCACTAAATACAGAACACATGGCAGTGGCTCAAAGCTGTGCCAGACTAGACATCAGGAAGCATTCCTTTACTGAGAGGGTGAAAGACTGAACAGGCTTCTGAGGGAGATGGTCAATAGCTCAAGTCTGTCACTGTTCAAGAGGCATTTGGACACTGACGTTAACAACATACTTTTAATTTTTAACTTACTACTTTGTTTTTTGGGCAATGACAATGACCTACCAGGATTCTTGGAATATTACAGGACAGAATTTTGGGTGCTCACAAGTCCTCACACCCACACAATTCAAGTACAGCAGCCATAAAAAACCATGCTGTGTAGCTGATATGACCTGGACCATCAGTGTCCCTGGTCACATAATTAGCTTCAGTCTGTGTGGGCACAGCCAGTCCTACCAATGTTTGTGCGACTGTAAATTCGTTACAGAAAATACTGAGGAAAAATTGCATGCACATAAAAGGCAGGTCCCAAAGGCTCTCTTGAGCCTCCTAAGGTGTGCTTCAGCTCAAGGATAACTGAAATGCTCTGATGCAAGTAAAATTTGACTTATTTGCCTTGGACTAATATCAGCTGGATGCACAGAATCTCATTGTAACATTTTACTAGCACTCAAAAAGACCTGGCACATGCTCTTCAGAAACTCATTGTGTAAATCTAAATTTCAGTCAACCTCTGGTCTATGTATGAATTTGTGAAACTACTGTGTGAGTAGAAAATAACTTTTTAAAGTGGCATAATTTAAAAAAAAAATCTCTTTATCTGGCATGTTTCTTATGAATCCTTAATCCCTTACAGAAGGGGATGCCTGTTCCCTTCTGTAAAGAAAATGTCATTTTCATATATTAACTCTTGATGTTTAAACCAGTATTGAATTTTCTAAACATGCTGATTAAATCATCTGTTCTTTTCAAGTACATCACCTAAAATATGTTAGGAAGCAGCTTGCATATTCACCCTTGCAGATCACAAAGCTGCCATGAATTAAAAGTGAAAATGTGAAACAGTAAAATAATTTACAGGTATAGGCAGGGAGAACTTGTTACAGCTTGAAAATATTGCAATTTATAGCCTGTTACTTGTTCTGTCATTTAGACTCTGATCCTGCTGACCTCCTCTTCCACAATTAGACAGATACTTCAAAGAGTGTAGGATATTAAGGATTACTTGTATGATTAAGAACTTTTTTATTAACACATATGAATTAAAAAGAATGTAAGCAAAATAGAGATAATAGAGATAATAGGAGACAGACCTAAGAAGGGAGGCTTGACTTTTCTGACCTGGAGTTTTTTAGTTTGGTTTTTTTTTTTGCTGGTGAATACAGATTTATTAAACAGATTATCTATTTAAAGTTGATGTTATTTTCTGGAACACCTACTTTAACACATGAGGACAAATTGTTTCACTTAGCTTAAGTAAATATTGTTCTGTGACCATTTTGTCATTGTTCAGTGGCTACAGGAAAGCTTCTGCAAATCAATGCTATAAGGTTCAGCCTTCAGACAGATAAGTAATTGGTACTTGTGAGAAAAACTCCTGTGAGCAGGCATGACATCTCCACAGTATTTGAAGATATAGAAAATGAAGAAGTATGAGGGTGTTTGACATATTATCTGGTCCTTACACATATACTTACATTTGTCTTGGTCAGCTTCCACTTCACTTTCTGTGTCACTCGGCAATATCCAAGGTTGATGAGCAAGTTGAAGCTGTTGTAAGAATTCATCCTGCCACAAACAGATCTATTTTAGATAAAATGGCAGACAATTGTTCTGTATAAATGAAGACTGCAGCGAACATTAGCCTCAATTAACTAGAGAGGAGACAGCCTTTAAAAACAAAAAACCAGCTTGATGTGAAATCAAACCAGAATGTAGAGGATGTGCAGGCTCCTTAGAATTTTTTTAAATCTATCCAGTAAAACAAAACCAACCAAAAAAACAAACAAAAAACCAAACAGAAGAAAAATACAAAAAAACATAACAAAAGCAAGCAAACAAGCAAACAAAAAAACAAAACCAAAAAATCAAACCCAAACCCACTAAAATGAGCGGATCTATTTAGCTCTCTACTATAATAAATACATATATGTAAGACACATACATACTCATCTTGGAAATGCAGTGACAGGACAAATTTCAGATATTACATATGACCCTGCAGTTTTTGGACTGCATAGACATTTCAAATGCAATTTGCTTAAGTGAAGCTTTGTTTTGTCAAAACTTTCACTCTTTCTAGTCTAATAAAAACAAGAACCTGAAAACCTGATTTAGAACCTTTGGTTTTGTTGCCTAAGGAGAAGGCTTAGGTAGGAAAAATGTTATGGAAACTTCTGTTTCAAAGATACCATTAAAAAATCAAAATATAAATGTTTTACATGGTTAAAAATCCATATGCAGCTGAATATATGCTTTTGAAAATGTTTTAAAATTGCCTTCTTTTTATATAATGTATATATGTACGTGTATAAAAGTATTTTTCCATGCAGACACTCACATGTGTATGTGAACATATACATACAGACATATAAAATACTTTGACACATTCCTTTGCAATATTCACGGGGAGAGATGAGACTGGAATGCAGTTTTATTTTCAAAAGTAGTTCAAACACCAAAGTTTAGTCTCTAAAAGAAAACTTTAATACTGGCCAGATATCATAAAATTACTGGCTAGATTTTTATAAATTCTTGAAAAAAAAAGGGGGGGTAATAACCCTGTTTTGTGTTACATCAGCTGAAATGAGAATTTACATATTTACAGTTAAACTGTATTACAACATACATTTTATTCTTAGGCTATCTGATTTAAATACAGAATTCAGGCTTGTTTAAATCAGTTTCAGGAGACTGAAGGCTGCTCAATCAAGATCTAACTTGCTGGGAGTAAATTATTAATTCTGTCAGAAATGTGTTAAAAAATTCCACAACTGCTGCTGCCATGGCCCAGCAGTAAACTCAGTCAGGAGCTCCAGGACTCACTCATGTATTGCCATTTCAAATGTGCTGTGCTTGAGAAGGTTGCTGACTACAACACTGAACGTGTTTTGGTTCATGGAACAGGATTCTTGCAGTAGGGATGAGTGACTCACACTGATCCACACACTTTTTAATCTTGCAAAAAGACAGAGCAAAGACCTGAGCCAGGCAGTGGAATAGAATGAGAGTATCTGACCAAAAAGAAAGTCCCCATCACAAGTTATGCTCTATACTCCAGTAAACAGGAGTAAAAATTTTGTTAATCAATGCTATATTCAAATAAGTTGAAGTTTCCTGATCTTAAAGAAAGACTAATATGAATTGCTGGATACCAGTTTAAGCTATCTGAATAAATGTAATTGTTGTAAAATTTCATGTTTTCAGAGAATGATATGGCAAACAACGGAGTCAGTAGTATTTTCATCTCAATAGCTATTGACAAGTATCACAGAATTGTGTCACTTTAATGGAATCCATCCTAAAGAGATAAGCAGGGTTCAACATTCCTTTGTCAATTTATACAAAACACCAAAGGATTAGGAACATGCACAGAAGTATCTCTGCCAAAGGATTTGGAACCCTGATTTATTACCTTTATAGAGATAATAAAACTATTTCTCTAGGTAGCATTTCTTTGCTATAATTCAATTCAGCCTTGAACAGAGCTGATAATAAAACACACCTGTTAGAACTTAGTAATATTATGTGTGCCAGGAGGCAGAAACTTGTCCACAAAATCTCAGATCATTATAAGTCTTGAACATTAAAAAACCTCAAAACATTCTTAACAGCTGATATGTTAAGTACTTGCCAAATTATTTAAGATTTGTGCTACAACAAGATTAAACCACCCATGCTGCAGCATGAACTTTACTAAAGCTTAAGAACTTTGAATTGTATTTATTAGTATATTTTTCTATTTAGACTTATTATGTTACTCTGAAACACATTACAATTTAGGAAGCATACATAAGGCATTGAGAGATATGTTAAAATTCCCAAAAAATAAACAAGGAAATAAATAAATAAATAAAGCTCCTTAGGGTAAAACATGCTCCTGGCACCCAGTAGTGACATTCTTTTCAACTGACTTATTCTCATCAAATATATCAACATTGTACTGATTAATTCCATTAACATCACCTAAGAGTAAGGAAGTAGAGTTATTTGCAAAATCTTATCATAGTACCTTCTATAGGATTGGCAATATAACCACAGTGTATTTACATCTAGTAGAAATTCCCGGTTGAGACCATAAGGCTAAGAAGAATAAAGGCAATTTCCCTTCTTTTATTTTACTGGTTTTATACAGGAAGATGATACAAAACCTACAATGAAAATTGCAAAATAAATTACAGTATCAGCCTTGAGTTTTATATGTTTGTGATCTGAAAAAGTACGAAGACAGACAGGACTCTTGTTCTCCTACCCCAAACCACCTCTGCCTTTTTAAAATATATCTCCATGGTGAGAGACAAGCTGTGGCACAAGAAAATGAGATCATATGGCCACAAAGAGGAGGAAATGTCTAACATGGCAAAAAATGTCACAGGACAGACTTATTTCCCGGGTATGTTCTGTCTAAATCCACTTCTCTATGTGACAGGAGCTTGAGTGGGCAAAAGACAGCTTGAAAGGGCTCCCAGAGCTTCTAGTGTAACACTCCAAAAATGAGGCTGGGAGTGGCAGATTGGCATCTCCATCAGCAACTTTCTGACATCCATGTGCCTTCACAACCTGGCAGAGGAAGGTCTTCAGGATGAACGTGTCATACCAGCAGCTTTCCCTTTGGAAGCAAAGCTAGTCCCAAGCTGAGTTTTCATTATGTCAAAGGTCACTTGTGCATGTCAGAAAGGATAAATAGGGTCTGAGCAGAGTCACTAGCAGCCAAGGTACTATTGTACCCAGTGAGCAAAGAGAAAGAAAAGAATTTGTCACTTCTAGAAGGGATTTTAACAGAGGATAAGATCCTGCATAGAAATGCTGAGGTTTAACATCAGCTTTACAGTGGATTGCTGGCTGAATCTGGACATGCTATTCTAACTAGAAAATAGCATAATAATATTGCTCACTTCCTAAAATTCTTGAGACAAATATTTACATATATTAAAAGTATAATAGGACACTTAATGCGAGATCTATCAACAAACAGAAGTAACAAGACATAGCAAATTAAATGGGACTCTTGCTTATTACTACTGTAATTACAGAAAGGTTGTGGAAGAAAGCCTTTTTAATTGTCTGCCTTTTTACAGGAAAGATTGAAAGTGATGGGAAGACTGGATATCTCTCACTCATTACATACACATACTTTCAAGAGTATATACAATAATTTTACTTGGAATCACATGACTGTATCATTTAAGAACAAGACTGCCTAAAAGAGAAGAAAAAGAGGGGTAAAGAATTTAGTTGGAGACAATAAAACCCTTCATTTCTTCTAAATATTTTTCAGTTAAAAATTTCAATTCTCATTTTCTGGTATGTGAGAAAATTCTAACACACAAACACATCCCATACTTCAAAAGAGGACACAAAGTGATTATTTTTGTCAAAAAAAAAAAGAAGTTTAAATTACATTTTTTTTCCATGAAAAACATGATTTGAAAATATATCAGCTGGCAGTGAAGACTTTCAGGAGAACAGTAGTCACCTTCAGTCCTCATGTCTTTAATCTGGATATTCAATTGTAAGTGAAGAAACTTCTCGAGTGATGGGATTAATGCATTGCCTTTCAAACACCAAAATAATAAGTATTTATTTCACCACCAAATTTAAGTAAGATTTCTTCCCCAAATTCAAGAGTAATCCGTGCCTCATTTCCTTTCCTTCACAACAAATAATGGACATCATAAAATTAATTGCAGGAATATACTAAGTATTCAATCTCTAATTTTCCTACAAGTAACCCTAAGCAACACTATCACAAACATTTTAAATTTTCTTTAGAAGTCATGAGACTGATAATACATTGTGTAAAGTGTCACACCCAACAGATTATTAGAACAGCTGATACTCCTCAGAAACAATCTAAAGGTATGATATTATTTTCAGTCTTGGAAAAAAGATCTCTAGGCTTTGACAAATGGATTACGAAGAGATTGGTAATAATGGTGGGAACCAACATATTCCACCACTAAAAAATTAGCAACCTAGCCATATAGTTCCTTCTCAAGTCAGTATAGAAGGACTGGCATATCCTGAGAAAAGACTCACCTTTGTAAGGCATGTATAGAGATAGCAGGGGTTTTCTTTCACAGGTGCTTTTATTTCCACTGCCCACACACTGAAATTATCTTTAAGGCAGCTAAGGTTAGCAGAGGAGAGTGCTACTCAGAATTTACAAGGTACTTTAACTTTTTCTTCTATTTTGTTTTAAACAAATATTAGTCCTGTAAAATATTTGACAGGAAATGTTTATGCTGTAAATCAGCCTAGTTACCATGCATATAGTATTAGTCATTCAACAATGTTGGACATTTTGTCTTGCAATTCAGTTTGGTGCTTTGGAAAAACCTGTCCTTTCAGTGATGCCTAACTAATTATTCCAATTGCCCAAAATATGAAATAAAAAGTAGATCAAGAAAATATCATGCACTTCCAGTGTGGCAGGAAAAAATATTATGAAGCATAAAGATTAGATAAAGTTTTGTTTAATATTCCAGAGGTATGCACCTGTTAGAAACTGTAATGCTAATAAAACTGCTATGCATCGCACAGGCAAAGCCCTACAGAGCTCATGGTAAATTTGAGGGACACATGTTTCAGTATGATTTCTGTAATAATACTGGCATTTTCTAATGAGTACCTCTCAAAGCTGAGCAGTATTTCCTTGCTAATTTTCTCATCATTATATTTCAAGTTCTTTATGCACAGTAGGTTACATTAAGTATACTGATGTTACTTGAACATAAAATGCAGTCAAGTCTTTGCATTATTAAACATAGCAAAAACATTAAATTGAAAATCTTACTTCTGATAAACTGTTTCTCTGAGTAGTGACAGTTCCAACAACATCTCCACTCACTTGCACAGAAAGCCCTGAAGCAGCACTGAGGGTCCTCCCCATTTGGCTCTTAGATGACAAAGATCTGCTTCTTTGCATGCTAATAATGCCTTCCCTATTTCCTTGGTTGCTAGGGGTAAGAGGCCGTGACAACAAGCTATTTGGGGTCATAGGTCTGCTCCCTGGAGCTGATGGCCTGTTGGTTTGTGCACTGCTGTTTGTGACACTGGAGACTTGTGTTCTGCTGTTAGCGGGCAGCGGTGGTGATTTGTTTCCTTGGAGCTGAATGTTCTTCCCTGTAGAAGTTGGCACCTGAGGCCTTGGGGTTTGGCCCTGTGCAGCTTGAAGATTGCCTTGATGGTCAGATGCAACTACACTGGGATGCTGGACACCAGGGCTTCTTGAGAGCCTTGCTTCTTCCCACAGTGCGAGGTCCTTCTCAATGTCTGTGCACACACACATGAACAAATGGAAAAGAAAGAAACTCATTGTCTGTTTCTCTCTGGTTTAAAACTCTTAATGATTTTCTCCAATGTAAGGAAAACCTGAAGCTGTGCAGAGAAAATATATTCATGCTTAAAATAAAAGGCATCAGAATTAACAGTGCAAATGTTTGGCAAGCATTTCCTTAAAGTTTATTTACATTTGTGTTCACTGCGAACACAACTACCCTGCAGAAATGAAATATTATCTCTTCATTGAATGTCAACACAAACTATAAAAATTCCTCGTTTCCTCAAAGTAATGTCTCTGTGGCTTTTGCACAGTTACTGCAAAATCAAGATTAGTACCAAACCAAGATGGAGCAATGATGTAAACTTGTTATCCCTCAGCTGCACTGAAGAGCAATCCAAAAGGCTCAAAGCAAAAGTTTTGCTTCTGGCCCTGCTGTCTACTGCCCAACCAAAACTCTGAAGGAAGTAACTATTGAACTCTGGCATATCTGGATTTGTGATAGTTCAAGGAGGAAAGGTGACAGCCATCAGGTGGTCCAATTCCTACCTCACATACAGCCATAAGAAATAAGATCTGTTTTAAAAACACAACAGATTAAGGACAGTAAATTAAAAGTGTCTTCTGAAATAATATAAATCATATTAATGCTTCTAATGGATTAAATCATCTAAGTCAGACGGGGATAGCTGGAATTTAGGTTGGCACTGATAACATATTGGAAGTCCTTGCAAATGCAAATGTAGAGCTAAAGAAACAATTTAATCAAGTTTATTTTATCATACACTACTGTTACGAACTTTCACTGGCATGTACTCTACTGCACTTGATTTTCATAGAGACAGCTGATTATCTTTAAAACAGCAATATCACTTCCCGTAAACATGCACAAGTCACAGTCCCAGAAGCTGTAAATTAGCAAGGCTCTTGCTATCTTGCTAATATACTTGCTACCTAATTGCTAATTTAAACACCTATTAAGTCAACTTGTCTGCAATAAGCATTTAGTATTTTTATTTTCATAACAATTATTTCAGATTCTAAAAGTCCTAAAAGAAACAGATTCTAAACTGCATATTGGAAAATGAGATTTTCTTTCACTTGTGTTTACCAGTAGGTATAAAAGGAATGTTGTAAGTTAAATAATTAAAGATGTGTTGGCTTTAACATCAACATATTTTATAAGATCTTGAAAACAGGAAAAAAAGCCATGCCAATTTCATGTTACTAGTCTAATACAACATATTGTACACAATTGAAATACTATCATTAGAAAAGCTAGTAAAACTGAAATAGTTGTGAAAGCCTCAGATAAAAATGTGTCACAACTTTTTAAAGATTAAATATTTTTGTTAGCAAATTTTAATACATAGTCAATATTTCTAGCACACTATTAAGAAAATTTCTAATTGACCCCTTAAAATTAATTATGTCCATTTTGAAATTATTACATCTTGAATGACTCTTCCACTATGCTTTTACTTTGGAATTTCATAGAATCACAAAATGGTTTGGGCTGGAAGAAACCTTAAAAGTCACCTGGTTCCAAACCCCCCTGGTTTATGGGCAGGAATACCTTCCACTAAATCATGTTGCTCAGAGCCCCATCCCACGTGGCCTTGAGCACTGTTAGGGACAGGACATGCACAGCTACTCTGGGCAACCTGTTCCAGTGCCTCACCCCCCACACAGTCAAGAATTTCTTCACAACATCTAATCTAAATCTCTCCTCTTTCAGTTTAAAGCCTTTATTCCTTATCCTATCACTACACACCCATGTAAAAAGTGCCTCTCCAGCTCTCTTGCAGGCCCCTTTAGGTACTGGAAGGCCACACTTAGCTCTCCCTGTAGCCTTCACTTCTCCAGGCCAAACAACCCCAAGTGTCTCAGGCTGTGAGAGATGCTCCAACCACTGAGCATCTTCATAGCTTCCTCTGGACCTGTCCAAACAGGTGCACATCCTTCTTACGCTGGGGACCCCAGAGCTGAATGCAGCACGCAGGTGTGGTCTCGTGAGTGTGGAGTAGTGAATCACAGAATCTTCTGAACTGGAAGGGAGCCACAAGGATCATCAAGTCAAACTCTTCAGTTTGGCCTGTATGGGGATCAAACCCAAGACCCTGGCATTATTAGTACCAGGTTCTGACCAACTGAGCTGATCTTAGAGGGGGAAGAAGCAGCTCCCTTAACCTCTGCCTGCTCCTCTTTCGGTGCAGAATGTGTAAGATCCCTGGCAAAAAATCAGGTGCCAATAAATGATACTGTGGGCTACTTAATTTAAACCAAATGAATAATATGGTCTTGTAAAAATCCAACTTAGTCTATTTCTTTGCAAAATTACAACTGCCCAACTTGCCTGTAGTGAATTCAGTATGCTAAGAAATAGTGTAAATATTGAATGATTTAATAAGTGTTAAATAAACATTATATGCTGGTTCATGTTTACTTAATTTCATAGCAGGCAACCAAGCCTGCAGATAAACCAATCATTATAATCATTACTCTACATATAATTAACATGTTTCCATAGCATAATTATTTAGTTTTATTTACACATCTTCTGTTTGATTTTGCTTTAATAAAAGCTTTTCATCCAGAAATAAAAAGAAATTACATATTCCCAGCTTTGTAGTATTATCTGATCCATATTAAATAATACAATTGAATTATGATTTAGGATTTTTAAAAATCCTTGTTGATGTAATTTAAATGAAAATAAAATTCAACAGAGCAACACAAAGGCATTTTGCTTTCAAATTAAAAAATATCCAGAATAAGGATATGATTCATATGCACTTAAAAACTGTTTATTTTTTAACAGTTCTTCTTGTGACAAAATATTTTCCAGAAGTATACGAAGACCACAGAATCAGTGCAACAAACCAAATTGGCAAGATACTGGAATCAATTACCAAAAAAAAAATAAATAAAAATTCTCCATTTGCATGTGATATAAAGCAGCCATAGTAACATAAGAGCTTGGATTTTAGACAAAAAAAAAAAATAAAAATATGAGCCATATGTAGAGAAGGAAAAGAAAGCTGCTCCAGTATCTGATTTTTTAAAACTGCTACTTTAAAATATCAAGGTATTGAGGCAGTTGCTGGCAATTGGTACTAGCTCCTATTTTAGGCACAGGCACCAAATTATGCCTTATGTTAGGAGTGATTTTTATCCAGCACATAGTCCATATGGGAAGGCCAGGCCCCTTAAGAAGGTGTATCAGAGACAGGAAGCCATATTTCATCATTACACAGGTAATCCAAGTCATAGCTCAGGCATCTAAATTACTGCCTAGATAGGCAGCCATTTTGTAGAATTAATAGGTTCCACTGTGCTTGCTAAAATAACTGAAACAAGAGACTTGCTGATATCACAGACACTTGAACTTTTGCAAATGTATAAGACAAATGAGGCTGAGCAAAACCACAGCATTATTATCTGAGGTACTCTGAACTGATTATTCACAGAAATTACATTATTCTTGTCTTTAAGGGGAGTAATTGTCTCAAGCATCACTGGTGTTATAATAGCACATGAATTATTAGGAATACAATAGTCCAATGTCTAATAATTGGGCTGTTTCCATGTGAAGCTCTCAGAAAAAAATTACTGAATGTTAGAATGGCTGAACCTCATGTTACAGATTTACTGAAATAACAGGCCCAAAGTCAAATGACAGGAGCAGCACTGATGTGAGAGAGAAAATCTTGTGGGTAGCACAACTGCAGAAGGAATCTCAGAGATTAAGTGAATGTAGCTAGTTAGTTTACAGTCAATTGAGTATTTAAAATTCCATATTCTATTGAATATTGTAGTTATTACTGTCAGCTTTGCCAAAGGACTGCATTTTTTATAGCATAATGCACGAAAGAACAGCTTGTATGACCATAGAAGTGAGAAGGACATAAATCAAAGTAGGGAGATCTTCACCAGACACCTCCTGAGTGACAAAATAAGGGAAAACAAGTGGTACCTCAGTACCACTATCAGGGCCCTTGGGGTACACAGGTCCCTGCTATGCTACAGAAACCACATACTGGTTTACTGCTCTCCTGATTCCCACTAGATGTTCCTGGGAGTTTCAGTTTAGAGAGAGGGCTCATGGATTTTTCAGTCTAATTTGGCAGTGGCTGCAGCTCTAATAGCTGTAAGCTTTATGAACGTATCAAAAAAAAAATAAAATAAAACTACAGCATCTATATTGTCAGACACAAAACCCACCTAAAGACTTCATTTCCATGTATCATAATTTTAGTTCTTGCTCCACTATGAGCAAAATCTATTCCTAAAAAGCTTCCCTCGCTGTGTTCATAGCTTTGTCATCTGCCTTGACCTCAGCTGCAACACCCCCTTTCTAAAGAGGATACAGCATTTCACACCATTGTTATTGGCAAGATAAATCTCCACAGTATTTCAAAAAAAATCACATGAAAAGTGTTCTCTGTCTCACTCTCAGATTAACTTAGAAGAATGATCAGACAAATTTCATTTCTACTTTCATTTTACATATACAGTCTTTACATTCCAGTGAAGCATTACTTTTCATAGAATTAGCCCATGAAGCTTTCACCACATGACAAATAGCATGCATAACATAGGACTACCACACTATAGGTCTATGTCAGACCTTTTAATGAAAGCTGAAGATAGAAAACATTGATTTCTAAGAAGAAAATTGCAAGCTAAATTTTAGAATATTCCTCATTAATTTTTATAAAGCTCTGAAACATCTTTTTACCAAAACCCCATGCCTTTGTTTTTTTTTGTTTTTCACAAATGGTTACCCCATCAAAGATGTTGCAGATGTTCCAAATTAACCGGTTTCACTCAACCAGAATTCTCATGAACAAGGTTTTTCCTGCAAAGAAATCTATTCTCTAGTTAAAGATCCACTATACCCTGCTTTTAAAGACTATTTAACGGTAAATCAGTACCTCCTTATTGCATAAGTCTGGGTAAAACATGAAAACAAAACAAAAGGAGCATTATTATGCTTTAAGACCACAATTTAACATGGTTAAATTATGTTAAACCATATTTAACATGGTTTAATTACTGTTTAAATAGTGTACTTACTGTAATTACAGTGAAGTTCATTACATCTACAAATAAAACACTAATTGTGTTTTCTTCAATGAAAAAATGAATAAAGTTTTCATCTGTTTTAATCAGCATGTGAGTTAGATAACTTTTTCCTTCGTCTGAAATATTAGCAGAGCAAACTGGGTGAGTACTTCTAGGCATTTTATGGTTCCTTGATCCCACACATACCAGCTAGGTGTTTTTCCATGGTCTGAAGTTCTTTTGCTGCTAAGGAGTCCTTTAGGAGCTTCTGCCTTGGGGAACCTCCAGGTCTGACAGTCACGGCATCCAAGGTCCAAACCGTCTGAGACTTACACAGATAGAAAAAAATGGATTACTTTTAATTCAGTTTCATATTTATATATGAAGCAATAAAAAGTGGTGTCCCCATCTAGGATCAGGAATCTGGTGCTTATTATGTAGAATATATAATATTTTATGCAAAATACTGCAAAATATCATTTTTTAACATACATAAAATAAATAGTAGGAATTAGTTAAAAGAAGCAGTTCTAAAATAACTGAAATATACACCTTCACATAAGTTCTTGCTCTATGCTGAGACATCATAACAGGACAAATTCCTTAATGATTTACATTCTCTGCAGTTCCAATTACTTAGTAAGCATTACACTTACTTTAAATTACCATAACATTTGGCTCAGCATTGCTGCAAAGCTGCACTTCTGGGAATATCATAGAATTTTCTAATCAAAATTTCCAGTACTGTTTTGTCACTGCAAGAAGTATTCCTTTCAGAAATGGCAACTAAATCATCAGGGCAACATAACAGTTTTAAAGGGTTTTCAGTGAGTCTCACTCTCTTCTTTATTGAACACCGTGGTACTCATAATTATTTCCTTTTTCTGGAACCCGCTCAATATAGTTACAGGAAATTTTTGTAAAATATGCTATGAGGTAAACTTGATAGATGTTTTTGTGAAACGCACAGTAAAACATCTGACCAATTGTGTGAGACTTGCTCATAAATAAACCAAATTAAAACAACAAAGAAAAAGATAAATAATTCTTGACAGCCTATCTGAAATACATTTTACATTATTAACTCATCAAAACAATTCATCTGTAGTCTAGGAAGTTTTGTTGGTTTCTTATGCAATGGTCATTGTCATTCAACTCTTACTAATTTTAAAATCTTTCTTCAAATTCCAGACAAATTTAGAGAGGCCAGTGTTTCAAAGACATTAAGCTGAAGCAATTTCAGGGAGAAGAATGATTGATCAGAGGAGGGAGAGCCAAACTAGTGGCCCCATTCACAGAGGGCTCACGGGACTCCACAGTCCGTCAGGCTGGAGCTGCATCGCAGCTGACATCGGGCTGCTGCAGATCATTGGTTGATGGCCCTTCCCTGCCCAGACTCTCATCCCACATAGAAAGGTGCATCACAGCTCAAAGGATGAACACAAAAATATAGGTCTGATATCATCTCTATTCACAAAAAAAAAATAAATTGCTTTAAACAGGTTAGCTGCCCTCCCTTTTAGAAAAGTAGGCAAAATTCTGCAGAAGTAAAATGTTATATGGGATCTATTTTACATCATTCCTAATCTCTTCCAAATAAACACTGCTTTGAATGCAAGTGAACATTGTGAACCATGCATCTTTAAAATTTGTTAACACAGAATTATATTTTTAGAGCAACAGCTATACTTTAATGCTGTTTGTGCCTATGCAAAAAAGCCCAGTCATGTTTACCATCATATAAAATAGTTTGAAGCTGCAGATAACTCTGTCCTTATTAATACATAGTTTTTAGAACAGTAAAATTTTTTTATTTGCCAAATGTTTTTTATGCTGATTCTTCCCTGATTAAAATTACCTGCATTTAATCCCAAGCAAATACAGAAGAATAGCTGAATAAAACAGTACATTACTCAGAAGTGAACTCACCTTCAAGTATTTTTATTTCAGACATACCACTAGATCCGATTCACCTGTTCCCCCAAGAGGTTTTGAGCATTTTTCACTTGAGTGCTCACTGTGAATTCTCCATCCAAATAACTGGGATTGTTGAGCTCACTACAGCATATTAATCTCTATTAAATTATATTCCTAAATTCTTATTTCAAATGGATATTAATTATCCAATATCTATCTCTAAATGAAAGAATATATTATTCTGTGATCAGTACCTCTGAAATAAATGAAACTAAATAAGAGAAGGGAGAAGAGGTATATAAGAGAACTCAGATTTTTCATTTTTCAACCTATTTTTAGATATTCTCTGTCCCCAGATTTTTATGGTGGAAAAAGGATATTTTTATTTGCATTTTATAGGGTATATTTTTTAATATCTGTAAAAAAGCATAAGGAAAAAACCTCAGGGTTGTAAGGATTAATCCTTTTTTGAATATACAATTTCATTCATAAATACAACTGTGATGAAATATGGAATAAATATTAGTCAGTGGTCTGTGGCAATACTTGACAACCAAATGAATATTAGAATATTCTTACATTGGACTATTCAAGTTTATTATAGCTAATTATCAGCTTTCAGTATCTTCCTGACCTCCTTAAAACATATTTCCAAAATTCAGCCTGATGAGATTTCACTTTCCATGTCCTGGAAATGCTTCTGGAAATGAAATGGAGTTATCATTCTTTTCTAGAAACCTCTGCTGATTTTTTTGTACATTTTGCCTTTACTGTACTTCTTCCCTTTATGCACAGTGGCTGTGTAAGGCTCATACAAAACAAAGATGAATGAATAAAGGAAGCTCTCTATGGTTACATATTCAAACTCCCCTTCAGATACATAGTTCCAACACCCTGTGAAACAGAAAACTTTGGATGAATTTTCCCCCAAATTTTATAATTCTTCCTGTGCATTTTCTATTTTATGTAATATCATATGCTTATGACATTTTATCAGGTAATTGCTACACAAAAGATCAGAACATTGCTATAGTATCTATGGAAGATATTTAATATTAGCAATTTTATTTCATAACGAATTATATGCTTTTAATAATAGTATCTTCCAATTAAATGCTTATTTGATAGAGAATCAAAATGACTGGGGGGAAAAAAGGGCATAAGAATTCATTAAAACTGTACTGTAACCATTTTTTGTTCTTTCTCCGAAGCTAAATATTCCATGACTATAATCAACAACATTTTTTGAGACAGGCCTAGGTAATTTTTTAATATATTTCTAAATAATACTGAGCATTAAAAAATGTTAATTTTTTTAACATTTTGGGACTATGAATTCACCTAGGTGCATAATGCATAAACACAGACATAGGTCCTCAGTGTCTCCAGCAAACAATTTGTGCAACAATCTTATTCCTAAAATATAAACACAAGCTGAAAGTAGGGGATGTTATCAAGAAGGCTTTGGAAGCACGTCAATTCAAATGCAAGGATAAATGAATTTGTACAGTTCTAGCAGAATTCCCTGATGCCTCTTCTCTCCACTGGATACATAGCAGCAGTTTAGATATATCACTTAAGAAAGTGATTCAGGCTTGCAAACCATTTATTTAAACATTCTTACTGCACTTCACCAAAACTTACCCTTTGTCATCCAGCCAGGAACTTCAGAGATGAAACACTAATGTCAATTATCTTAGACTTCAATGATAATCACATCAGACTGAATGTAGTTGAAAAATACAGCATGTATGTATGAAGTATGTGCATAGAATCCTTCCAATTATTTCAGCATCTTCCAAAGTACCACTGCCCTCATTCATTGCACTTTATAAATATTAGCACAAAATTTATAAATAGCCTATTTGCATTAACAAGATTAATGAGATCTAAGTAAGAGGATGTTACTGAAAGACATTCTTGTCTTTCTAAATTGTAGAAACAACTCTGTGTCCTGTTCATCATCTTCAAATTTTGAGGGTGAGGCAGTGAGCTCTAATAAACATATTTGGGATACATTTGTCAACCTCAAAGGTCAGCTGTGTGTCCATTACTTAAGTGACTTTTTTTATATATCATCATAATTTCTTCATATATAATACATTAATTATTGCTTTTTTTTCTCCTTTATATCTCTTAGCAAAATTATTGCTAAAATAAAAAATTACATACAATAAGGGCAGAGATAATCCCTCTCATCACTGATTCCCCAAACTTCTGGAAAATACCATAATTTACTGGGATTGCCACAATGGAATGGAAATAAAATTAAGGAGGTCATGAATAAGAGTAAGAAACTTTTTTCAAGGTCACTCTCTGTGCTTCAATCTGCAGCACAATGCTACACAGCATGAATCAGTACAGTTCTGTCCCTAAAAAAAACACGAGTGCAGATGTGAGTATCTTGATCTCACCGTCGAGCTGAATTGACCTGGGCTATGTAATACCCAGTGACACCTGGTGAGTTCTACAAAGGTACAGCTTTTCAGAACACCTAAAATTAAGAGTTAGGGCACCAACTTATTTACAACATCACCTGGAAATCAAGTATTTGTTCAAAAATTAATTACTCTTCCTTACTGACCATAAAAAGTCTTCATAAACTATTCAGCACGTATTTCTATGCTATTTTGGCCCATCCCAGAGTAAAATCCAGGTATTCCAGTGCATGCCCACATGGAAAACTGCCCAAACTGAATTACAAAAATGAAATGAGAAAAAGGTGAAACCAAATTAGTTAGCTCCTGGCAAGCTGTAAGTATATGAAAAGTGGTTTTTTTGTACTTTTGATTCTACATGGTTTTGCTAATCAAGTGGAAATTTTATCGGTAGCTTCAGGAGATAAAAGTGTAAGAAACACACCCGGGCATAGCTTTCTATGATATAGCTTTTCTTTGCTGAATAACTTAAATATCTTAAATAGACACATTTGACAGAGATACCTCTAAATAAAGTAAAAAACAAAAAAACCACAAAACCAAACCAAATAAAACCTCTTTATTGAACTCTGTTTACAAGTGTCCCTTCCACTCTGGCCAAGCAGGTGGTGAGTACAGATGTTCTGCATGCAGTGGATTTTTTTTTTGTGCAGTATTTTGTTCAAGGATTCTTCACTCAGCATGTACTTTCTGTAAAGAGGTCACTTAATATTTAATCTTTCAGCTTCCATAATCTGTTCAAGGACATAAGGTGAGAAAACCATCTGATACTGTAAAAATACAAGGCTTCTCAGAGCTCTGTTACAATATCAGCTGCCACCTCTAATCCCCCCTTCCACATTAGGGCCTGTTCTACTTGAAATGCCGTGTAATTGAAATTACAAGCTTTTGGCTTCCCCTGGTAGGCAGCCAGCCGTCACATTTTACACTCAACCTTACACTGAAAAAATGGTAGTCTGAGTTAACTCACACATAGTTTTTCTGTTTACAGGAAAGAGGGAAGCAGGAAATATGTGGACACCTGGGAATCACATTTGTTTCAGTTTTTGAAATGCAAGCTGAGTAATTTTTTTCTAAACTTCAGTTCTGTATTATTTACTGTTATTTGGACTAATCTTTCTGAATTTTTCATGCCCAAGAACACAAAATTTTAGACCGGTAAAAACAAGGAATTAATTGATTTCCTTTTGTCATAAATATTTTTCTAAAGTTAAGAATAGTTTTTTCAATTATGGTTTAGAGGACTAAATATTTGCAAATAAGAATATTTTCACCCAAGTAGATTTTTTTTTTTTTTAGATATATATACAAAAATCTATGTCTAGGTTGTAGATTTTGTTTGACATAAGGGAGGTCTCAACCAAGTAGGTTCAGGGTTTGCAATTCAAATTACTTTCTTAACTACTCCCAGGAAATATCACTTATTTCCCAAGAACCTTGATATTATACTTTTCTAACCATCCTGTATTGTTAACTAACCTAACAGTGGTTAAACTTATACATTTGTGTAGGGTGTTTTTTACTACCTGTGGAAGAGCTGAAGTAATCTATTATTAACTGTTATTATTTTTATAGAATATTTAGATTTTGAAGTTAAAATTAGAAATTTCATCTTTAAGTGCCTGAATTTTTACATAATTACAAAATCTAGCTTGGATCTGAAAACTTTTGTATCAGAACACACCAGTTTGAATATAAATATGTTCATAAATATCTAATTTGAACATAAATATTATCTAAATATGACCTTTATAATTCTTAATATTGCAAAGGTGAACTGCTGTCATTTCTGATGTGGCAGTGTGATCTTAAAATAACTATTTGAATGACTAACTGCTAAATGCTAAACAGTGAGCCCAACCCAGTAAATTTACAGATTTAGTTAAATGCAGAAGTTTGGATGATTTTTGTTGATTATACTCAAACAAGTAATTAAGCTACTTCATATTATTATGCTAGGGGGAAAATGGGAAAAGCTATGAAAATTTCTAACAAATAGAACTGAAATCATCTAATATTGCATTATTATATTCAATATATATTGACAGCAAGAATAAAAGCTTAGTCTTTCCTTGTGCATGACGCTTCAAGTAATTTTACAAACTGAATTAAAGAATTTATGCATTTATCACAGAAAATCCATGTCTGTATTTCTTCTATGAAAGCAAATGAAATGTTCCAAAGCAGTAGAAAATACAGGAATAAATTTATTTAAAACAAAACACTTCTATAAATCACTTTATTACAGTATTTTTCCCACAGTAATAAAGAACAAAAACCCAAGGCACTTTCATGCAGAAACACTTTTTGCAGTTGGACAACATTTTTCTTCCAGTTTCTGCTGCACTCGGATTGATTTGCTTTACATGGATAATTTACAAAGAAAAAAAATACCTTTTTATGTGCATGTAGAGGGCAAGATTCACATAAAATACCCCAAAAATTAAGCATAAATCCTGTTAGATCCAGGTGGTGAAATAAACAAGTCAGAGAGAAGGCAAAGGCTACTCAATGTGATCTTCTCAGTGCATGTGCCCTGTTTCTACCTGTTAGTCAGTGAAAAGTTAGCAGCTTCCTCTGACACCCTGATTTTCCATTCTGCTAGAATTCCAGGCCACTTAAATTTTTCCTAGTACCACTTCTGTATTTTCTTAGTCTTATTTTACTTTATGTTTCTGGAAATGTTCTAAACATTTGGGTAGAAAACTTTGTGTTTCCCACAGTGAAAATATCTCAATAAAAAGATTTTGCATTTTGCCTGGCACTTTTTATTATACAAAATATTTGCCAGGCAGTAAACTAGCATCTCTAAGGATGCTTTGAATGCTTCCTTCCACTTTGAATTCTTATAAAACAGTTGGGGAAAGTGCTGATTCCTGTAAATACCTCAAACAGCTTTTTGCCACCTCTACTCACTTATTTGTCCAGAATGCCTTGTTTGAGGTTGTGCAGCAATGAAAATCTAAGCTCTCAATTTTTCAAACATTAGCTCTTTTTATGAAAAATACAGCATAGCAAAATATTCTATTTTTAAAAATATAAAGAAAAAGGTCTGACTACAAAAAAAAAGGTTTTTTAGAAATAGTAAGCATATACAAAGCTGCAAGAAAATAATAATATAACCATAGTGCAAATTACATGAACCATGTTATAGATATAGATGTTGCCTATCTCTTTGGAGTACTCGTACCCAGATTGTTTTAGTATCCACATTAAAGATCTTACATGTGGATTCATACAAGGGACATGAAAAAACAAACCCAAATGGTTTTTTTTCTGAAAATCCTTACGCATAATTCTTGCTGTTTTGTCCTACAATTTTTCTCAAAACACTTATCCTCTGAAGGCCGAGACATCTTTGAGGAAAATTTGTCAAATACACATTAACAAAGAAAAATTTATATAATCATCCATTTAACTAGCAACAAACAAAAATTACCCTATTGGAATGCAGTACCAATATTAACCATTGCACAGCTTGAACCATGGCAGGAATTTTTACATGTAATATGCACACTTGAGTGAATACCATGAATCAATTTGTCAAATTTATGAGAAATGTCTGATCAACATCTTATTCTATTTTTTCCTCATCTTGTATCTCATGAAATATCTAAAAATCATTAAAGTCATGAGAATACAACTTGGTATCAATTCTGAAGTAATTTTACAGGAATCTTTCTAACTGTTTTGAAGGATTGTGGAAATACATGATAAATGCAAGATTGCATTTATCTACACAGCCTTCTATGAGGCATCTCAGTTTTATCACTATATTTTGTATGTCAAGGTTGTCAAAGAATAAATCTCACTGAAAAGTATTTGGGGAGCCTGGAACAGATCTCTCCTTCAGAGCCCTGAAAGGCAATGAGAACAGTTGGATCATTTGTTTCTTTTTGAGGAGATACAATTACAGACAATGTGTTGGACAGTTGAATTTCTTTTTGAATATCAAGCCTTTATAAAGGGACAAAAGTACACAATCATCTAGCTACACACTGTAAGCAAGAACATTAAGACACAATACATAAGAAAACAACCCCACAGCATATGAACTAAGAGCAACTGGCTCCTTAGAAGGTTAGGCAAAGTACTTTTTCAAGAGCTCAGGGATGTGGAAAGATCTGCTTTTGCCCTGAGGAAAGGATGGATAGGCAGAGCAAGAGCCACAACCACCCTTGTCTTCTCTTTGCAGCACTATAATTACTGCGTCAGCCAGTGTGGCTTTCAGGGATTCAGCCCAGGTAATCTTACTGCCTCTGGCAGTTCCATCCTCCAGGCAACCTTAAATAAGCCTGGAACTACCAGAGCATGAAATGAACACAGGTACATGTTGTTTGTTTCCTCCTAAGCCTGCACAGACAGAGCATATGCATAAAACTGTTCAGCTGAAGGCTGTACCTTTCTGTAACAAGATTTTGTAATAAGCATAATGAACTTCTGTTGTCTTTGTATTTTTTTCTTTGTAATTCAATTCATTTGTTTCTCTCACCCTATGTTACACATCTGCAGAATTACTAAATCAAACTTTGTAGCTATGAGTACAAATCAAAAAGAAAATGTGAGTTCAGAAACTGCTGCAAAATTTATTTTACCCCTCTGTTTGCTGGTGGGAAGCAGAAAGGAGGTTTGAAAAAGAAGCTCCAAGTAATGCTAGCTTTACTCTTTTCACCCAATATCAGCAAATGCTCTGTGAGGTTCTTCCACTCCAAGAAGTTCTCAAAGAGCTTTAGGAATTGATCTGGAACTCCATACCTCTCAACTGCTTTGATAAATAATCTGGTTGTAAATAGTTTATGTTCAATACTATCCATCTTTATTCACAATGCTTAATCAGCTGACTGAAAGACTGCAAAACCAATCTGCATTGCCATTTTTCTCCTTTCTTTATATTGCCTAACAAATACTGAGCCCTTCTTTCACTTCCTATACCAACACTAAAGTGTGCTATAAACCAGTATCCCTGAACAGACTGAACAGGAACTAATGTGTCGTCTTATACTTTCTAAAATTTTGCAAAAATTAACACTTTTGTCAATTTATTTGCCTTAGGGAAAAAACAAAGCAATCCCTTCTTTACTCTATATTCAAACTCCTAGTGCAACACCAGTAGAACCAAAATCATGATTACATAATTCTTTAAAATTATTTTACTGGCAGTTACGTTTTCCACAAACTGCATAACTGCAAAGATTTTCTTAAATTTCAAAATAAAACAACTGATGGAGGTATTTCCAAGCATAGTATTGCATTCTTTTAAAATTTACATATAAACTAGCCATACATTTTAACTAAACTGCTCTTATTGGTTTTCAAGCAAAGAGTAACAGAAATCTAAATTACAGTTGATATATTACAATTTCATATTTCAGAATGAAATTTACACTTTGAATTATTTTGTTCTCTTCAATTTATAAAATTGAGTATTACCTGGTAATATTTGACTAGCATTTAAAAACATATAGCATATATATAAAATTACTGTGCTTTCAATGGGCAAGCCAAACAATATGTGGTTTTGTAGATTATAATAATGTATTTCAAAATACCACCTTTCCTAGAAAGAAAAAATTAAAACAGAGAACTGAAAATTCAGAAGGGTTACGTAAATTTAGTTTTCCTCTCTCTAGCATGATAGTGCTGGAAAACACAACTTTTATCTCTGTGCAAAATCTATTTTTATGAAACTAATTTAAAAAATTACAGTATTGCCCATAAGGAAAGGTACTTACAGATGCTGCCACTTGAGAAGCACTCTGAAACTCATTAATATCTTCTGTGAGTGTTTCAACCCCAGGTACTTGAGCTGTTCCAAAGAGGTACAGGAGAAATGTAAATCACTAATCAAGTAAGCATTAGTCACCTTGAAAATTTAATGCCTAAAAATTTACTGCTGGGAAGGTAAATGTGGTTTCTGTAAATGTACTAATTTTCAGTTACATTTCAATGGATTATAATTTATGTCTGATTTTAATTTACAACCTTAATGCAACATGGAACAGTGCCTCTAACATAACTAGAGTGATAAGCGAGCTTCCTGCAGCTTCCAGAGGTATTTTCTACGATCTTCATTACCTTTACTATTTAAACTAAATACTGTTTACCCTTTACAAAAGTGAGTAGTGGATCTCCAGCTTTAATAAGATGAATAAAACTAAATTAAATTAATTCAGTTAAAATTCCTGAAGTAAAAAGATTTTGTCAATTTAGACAACATTTCAAAGCCTTGCAAGTATAATTTTTGCCCATAATGCCACATCTGTAAAATGTCAGAATTTTGTGAGGAGTCTAAAATGTCTCTGTGATGCATGTGTAATGACTTAAAACAGATTTTATGCACCCATGTCAGAGAAATAAATTTCCAAGTAACATTCTATGCAGCTTCACTCTTTGCCCAACACTCTGCTAAAGCACTCAGATGCTGCATCAGCAGCCTAGTAAAACATGACGTCCTGATCTTCCCTGCGTTTTGCTGTTATTCAGACATTTAGCAGTAAGGTCCTTATGTTTCCAGAACCAAATTTGTTAAACATCTCAGACTATACTTACTGTGAAAGCAGAACTTACTGTGAAACATGGCAACTGTGGTTACCAATTCATTGCAAACAGAAATTGATGTGGAGGGTGAAGAGGTGATGCTAATGCAAAGCTGTGGTAAGGAAATGGTTTGGGAATTGGGAGATGATGCCACACTTTTGCCATTGCCTTATCTAGTTCTCAGTCCAAATTCCCACATACTTGCATCCTTAATTTTTTACTGTGGTCATGCAATTCCACCAGAACAACAGTGTATGTGTTTCAAATGCTCATGTTTTTATTGAAAGTCCCCGATTCCAAACTTTTCCTCTACATCCTAATGTCTCTTTTGAACTTTTTACTATAATGACACTTAAAAGGAAAAAAAACCCCAACCAAACAAAAATAAACAAACAAATCAGAACCAAAATGCCCAACTATGCAAACTATACTTTTCAGCTAACTAACTGCAAATAATAAAAACCAGTGACTCCTGTTTGACAGGGAATAAAGTACTGATGTGAACTTTGCTGTAGCAAAATTTATTTAGCAAAGTATTATATATCAATATAATCTGTAGAGCTGTAGATGTCATAGCACAATAAAATAGGAAATACCACATTTACACAGTGGCATAATACCACAGAACCTATCATTTTTGATCCAATATTATTCCAGGCAGAGTCACAAAAGAAACAATCTGCTCACACCTTAGGAATATGTGGAATTACACAATACACTGCAAAGAACCTCACATAATAAACAGATTTTCTCAGATAATTTGAGGAGTGGTTTAAAAGCGTTATACTTTTCATTTCTCCTATATTATGAGATTACTCTCTAATAAGGTACTGCATTTTAAACTTACTTCTACAAGAATGCATAGACTGCAAAAGCTTTATTTGCAATAATGTCTTCTTTTCCTGCCTTGTATCATGGCTTCACTCAAAGGGTAAGGTACATTTCAGCAGAAGAGAATGAATGAATGAAACAAGGTTGTATGGTACTTATAGGAAACTGGGAGTAAATGAACAATTATCCTTTAGCGATACTATTTCTACATATCTTAAACCCCCCCAAAAAATGCAGAAGTATATTGCTTCTATAATCCCTCCAACCTGAAAAGCAAAGTGGGGGCTGATGGATGTAGATTTTTCTGGATCAGCTCTGTTGTAGTGTGTTTAGAAGCCTCAGCCATTCTCCCCATCTACCGCTACAGAACAAGAGCAAAGCTCAGTGAAGAACTGACCAAAGAGACTAACCAGACAAGCTTGGCATCTACAGGGGAAGTTTGCTGTGCAGTCATCTATGCTGCTGCATCTAATCAAAATCAGGAACCTATTAAATTCTTCCCTTAGTTCTTTCCGGTGAAGCAGTCTAATGGAAAAGGGAAACATTTTTGAGAGGTATAGTTTAGGACAGTTAAAAGAAACTTCAGCTTTAAAGTGTCTTGTGTTCTTCAATCTTGAGACCTGATTCCTACCTCTCATTTTTACTACTTAAATCAAACACAAGTCTGTCCAATTCAGCAGGATTATACTAGAGGGAAATCAGTGTAGTGGTTAATTAGAACCAGATCCAGATTGCCAGTGGAGTCAGAATAGTGTCTGATGCTGCACGTGATCTCTACACATAAGCTACTGCATTAACTTTAGCAAGTGGAATTGCTTAAAATGAGGCTTATTTATAAGGTCTGTTAGATCAGATGTTCTGCCAATTACTTCTGAGTTTAGTTTATCTGAAATTCACAGGAGAGATGTTCCAGATCTAACAACAGAAACAGATCATTATCTAAAGAAAGCTACTCTCAACTTCGTTGTGCATCAGCACCTTGCTTGCTTATTCTTGAATGAATGATTTGCAACAGCACTTCCCAATGCAGAGTTTTCCCTCATTAAGGTCACTAGTACTGATAAACAACAGCAGAACATAAATTCAAATAAACCTGGTAAGTGAAGCCTGATAGTCACTATTTCATGATGTAATACATCTGTAAGAGGACATAACTAAGAATTCAGTGCAACAACGCCTAGGTTACTTAGGGTTTTTTAATAATAACTTTATACATTTTTTTAAACATCTTCTCATATATACTATTTATTGGAAATAAGTATCAAACGCAAAGAGAGCAAATATTATGCTGCTTTTATAGGAAAGATTGATAGAATGGGCAGTTGCCTGAGCTCTCTGTCTGTTTATAGTCTGTACCTACTTGTGTGATCCAGCTGTATTTTTTTTCCAAATCAAAGTGTAACACTAGCCAACACTTTAGGAAAAAAAGATCCTACCATATGTTTTGAAACACTGAACATTTCTGAGGGCACCTCTTGACAGAAATCTGGCATTGCCTGACTGTTGACCTCAGTCTTTTTGCCCAAGAGGCCTTGTTATTTTCTAGCAATAAGACTAACAGGTCCATGTATATTCATAGACATGAGATAGATGTTTATAGCAACATGAATGTTATTGCCCCATCGACCTATCTAAATTTTTCTTTCTGTATTTTATTGATTGTGGTGTTTTTAAAGAAAGCATCTTCCATCTTCTCTGCAGCCATATTGTCTGCAGAGCACTCACAAGCACATGAAGTGGCTGAAGGTAGAACACCTATAGCACTTTTGTGCTCCATACCTGGTGACCGTGAAGAATTCAGCTCCAATATTACCCAGTATCCAGTACTTTCTGATAGTTTCACCTTCCTGGTGTCTCTGCCACTTAGCAAAACCTAGCTATCTAATTGAAACTGCAATTTCAGAAGATGCCATGGCAAAGTGGGCATATTTTCACTTCAAGAGCAAAGGTATACAGGAAGGAAAATGGAAGGATGAGATCTGTCCAAAAATTATTTTGTGAACTGTAGAACTTTTTCCCACATATCTGCCTTACCCATCTATTTGCTTTTGCTGCAATAATCTCATGCATGCATATTCCCTTATCTATCTCAAGCAACCCACCACCACCTCCCTATCTGGGAATCACTCTCACAACAATATAATTTTGCCTTCTTTTCACTGGGCTTGATTGAAGTCACCAATCTGAGCATCTCTTGCTGACAATCTTCATGAAAATTGTAAAGGACATCATGTTTTGAGATTCTGAGTGTCCTATTGCCTTGCTCAATTAAGTGATCAATGGCAGATAAAAGGAAAAGCCAATCTCTTTACTGCATGAAACCACACATTCTCACAAAACCAGCTTGAAAAATTTATCTTTAAAGACATATAGGATACTAATGGTTGGTTTAAAAATTAGGCAAGAGAAATGAGTGAAAGCTCAGGTTGCTATGATACCTAACAGCACATACAATAGCATTAGATTAGGTAGCTAGATAGTAGGATTAAATTAAAAAAGGAATAGAATTAAAAAAAAATATATATTCTGGGATTTTTTTTTGGTGTTAATTGATCACTACAGCTAACTTGTCCATGGCTGCTGAAGACTACACAGCAAATCAAAACATACAATCTGTAGACTTGGCTGGTTCTGCCCAACAGTAAGGGAATGGACTGAAAGATTTATCTTTGCAGATTCTCTGTCAAAACCTCTATTTCTTTCTCTCTGCATTACAGTGCAGCTAAGATAAAGCTAACCTTCACCAACTTTATCTTTCATAGGAAAGCTGGGCATTCTCTGGAAAGATATCCCTTATGAAGTGCCTTTTTCAACATTTCAGGTGTTACTCAGTTCAAAAACCTGAGAAGAAATTGAAATAAGTCTGAGTGTTCTGACTGCAGATTAACACAACATATGAACATGTTTGTATGAGAAGAAAAAGTGTTTTTCAGTGTTATTTTATAAACTCTTTATTTCTACTGTAAATCATTTGACTCATCTGGATGCATCTGTAGTAATAAATTAAATATTTCAAAGACCATTCTTTGGCATAAAAGCAGCAATGAACAGCCCACGTCTATGCTATTAAGCTGCTTTAAATGTCAGTGTGCTAACATAAAATCTGTCTACTAAGAACAAATTCTGGCCCAATGTACCTCTCAAAATATGCCTAGGAATTATTCTGAAGTGCTAATTGGCCATGACAAAAAATATGTTAGTGGCTCTTTGAACAGATTTGAAGTGTAAATGATTGAGTTCAAATCAGGAACACTCTCTTGGAAGTGTTTCATCTTTTACAGACATAACCCCTACTCTCAAATTCAAGATGTTGATGTTTGGGGTTTTTTATGAGCAGCAAATATTTATATAACTTACCATCAGAGTCTGACACTGCTGGCTCAGATGTCTGAGATACCATGGAGACATCTTCTGGCCTTTCTGCCAAATTATCCCCTTGCAATCTAAATTGTGGAAAAATGCAATGAAAACATTTGCAACATTATTCAATGGATAAGACACAGAAGAACGTTATCCCTGGCTACATACCCTGCTCACAACATTGCCCTAATTAAAAGAGCAGCATTCCTGAAAAGCCCACACTCTTAAAGCTGAACCATAACCTGCACTGTCTAGTAAACAAAACTAGCCTCTAAGGAACAGCCAACTGAATCCTAGCTTATGCATTTTTGTAAGTCTTACTTTACAAAAGTGGGGGTTTGGTGTGCACCTGAAACTGCAAGCCTCCTTCCCTACCTTCCAAAATATTTTAATTGATTAGGACTGTACTGGATGTCCATGCCAATGTGTTGGCAGTGTGGTGGCCTCGGTGAGGAGAGGCCGGGGCTGCCCTGAGTCAGTCACAGGGGGTTCCACCTGGCTCCAAAAAGAAGGACATGTTTTTTTGGCTCTTCAGCCAAAATGGGGGCACCTTGGAGGAAACATAGTTAAGGAAGAGCCAGCCACAACACCACACAGGCAGAAGAGCAGGGAACAGGAAGACTGGGAAACAGCAGAGCACACACCAAGGTCAAAGGAGATGGTGCTCCACCTCTGAGCAGATACTCTCCTACAGCCCATGGTGAAATTCCAGAGGCAATATCCCATGCACCTCCTGGAGGATCAACACCAGGGCAGGTGAGTATGTCCGGGATGGACTGTAGCTGATGGAGATCCCACACTGGAGCAGGTGAAAAGTGTGGTGAGGAAGGAAGGGCAGAGAGGACCTGTAATGGACTGACCACAAACCCCCATTCCCTGTCTCCCCTGCACTGCTCAGTAGGTGGGGAGAGGAGTCTGAAGTGAAGGAGTGAAGTTTGGCCCAGGAAAGGGAGGAGGAGGAGGAAAAGTGTGGTTTTAATGTCTGTCTTTTAGTTTCTCATCACCTAAACCTATTTTAATTGGAAATACATTAAACTAATATTCCCCAAGTTAAGTCTGCTTTGCCCATTACAGTAACTGACAAGCAATTTCCCTGTCTTCATCTTAACCCACAAGCTTTTACTTCCTATTTTCTTCTGTCTTCCTACTGGCTGGGTAGGGAACTGGCCCTTAGCCAAACTTAACCCACCACAGGGAAATATATGCAAGAATATTTCCTCCTCCTTTGTTACTTGTTAAAAGGAAAATACAGTAATTATGGCAGACTGTCTTCAGGCTTTCCCGCTGCACCAGCTGACTGCAATGCCTTGACAGCAATTTACACAACTAATGCTTGTATCTGCTTTTTCAAATGAATATCCCAGGAGTCCCACCATCCTTCTCCTGGCTCTTATGAATCCTGAGCACAAATTCTGCTCTGAAGAAGTGCATTGTAGCTCTAAATGCAATATAACTGCCATTTACATAAAGGTTATCTTACCTTGGATTTATTCAGACATGAAAAGAATAAGAAAAATGCAATTCAATTTTGCAAAGCCCAGGAATCATAAAAATGCATTGAAGTAAAACCTTGGGGAAAGAAATAACTTATCTCTTTGAAGAAAAAAAGTTCTTTTCACTCTGTATTCCTACTCTCTGCAGCTGTTTTATACCGAGCTTGAAATTAACCCTTGAAACCAAGCAGAACCTCTTTATCTGCCCTAGCTAAATTTCACATTTTATGACTCTCACTTGTATCTAATATATATGGATCTTTAGCCATCTATTTGTTTGTATTCCTCAAAACTATTTCCCCAACAACCCCCTCTCCCAATTACTTTTTATTTCCCCTAGAATGATTTATTTATATTAAAATAAAATAAATTCATAATATTTCTTATCTAAGGTGGCAGATCCACAGAACACCAAACTCAAGACAACAAAATGTAAAACTTAGAAGCTGTAAACATAATTTTTAAAATTACTTCTATGAATCCTTTATAGCTCTGTATCTGTCTTCTAATCCTCTAGTTGCCAATTCTTTAAAAGCCTAGCTTGTCAAACAGAATCAAATAACTTTGTATCCTAAAGATATTCAAATAGGGAGAAAATAAATTGCAAATGAAATAACTATGCAAAAAAAGGAATATCTCAAGAATCACATAATTCTCCACTGCAATACTATTCACCCATTCTCCTTCATTACATACACAAGCACATTTACTGCAAGCACATTTTCAGTCTTAGAAAGATATGCACGAAATTGCAGGAACCAGACGTGAGATACTCTTCTGTCCAGCCATGTTGGGAATTCATTTGTATTTAACTAAAAGGACAATTACTCCAACCTTTTCTACTTACATTACAGTCATATAAAAACTGTCTCTAGAAGTAGGAGTCACTTCTTTTATTCCATCAGAATTTTCAAGATTTTATAATATGTTCCCATTCTGAGCTTCAATAAATCCAAACTAGACATGAATAACTGAAAGTATTCTTACCTGATTCTAGAATTTAGATATATTTAAGTGGTCCATGGCTTCTTGAAGAACACACACACAAAAAAAAAACTTTTTTATGTATCTAATCAGAAAATCCATTTCATATGATTTTACTTTGCAGCAAGAAATGGCTGGGGTACTGGATGGATGGGAGAATAGGATGTTTGACATATCCGTACTTTATTTTCACATCAAATTTCCAATTTATTTATGTATTTGTTACATATATGTTCATATCAGTATAGATTTTCATGAAACTTAAGCAACAAAAAACTATTTCTTGCCAAAAGAACTCTGGTACTAGGACTATTACAATTTCTTCTTCAAAAGTAGTATTGTTCATAAGACATCTCCACAGTAAAATGAAAATACTTAAAACTGCATAAGCAGAAAGAAGTACAGATTAGAAAGACACAGGTTTAGAAGAGTTATCTATAAACTATCTTAGTAGCAACTTGATGGACTACTTCAGCTTTTAACCAAAACATTCTTTCAGCTATCAATTATTTTAATGTGAGTCTAAATTTGATACCTGATAGCCAACATGTTTCCCCATATCTGTTTCTAGTGTGATTTTTTGCTTAGAGGACATTGTTTCAGATATATTAACCAGCTGCAGGTTGGAGCTTCAAGAGCTACAAAAGCAAACAGCCTAAAGGTAAGTAATTCAATTTTCTTTGACCCTAAAATGCATTATGTAGGGCTTCTTCCAAGAAATCTTAAGGACTTCAGGACCAAAGATATTCTGAATAAATTCTATAGACTCAGTGCAGAAGCATTATACAGGGTCTATCACTACAAACAAGCTTGTGGCTCTGTGAATCACAGTCCTCCTGGCAGTATGATTTAAAAATATGACTTAAAAATTCACAGAATGGGTCTGACTGGATGTGCCCACAGTGGGCAATCTGATCGAACCTCCCTGCTTGAGCAGGGTCACCCTAGATAGAGTACATAGCACAGGGTTGTGTCCAGATGGCTCTTGAATATTTCTAGTGAGGGAGACTCCACAACCTCTTTGGGCAACCTGTTCTAGTGCACAGTCACCTGCACTAAAGAATTTCTTCATGTCCAGATGGAACTTTCCATGCATCAGTTTCTGCCTATTGCCCCTTGTTCTATTTCTTGGCATCACCAAGGAGAGCCTGGATCCAGCCTCTTGAAAACCTCCCATCAAACACTTGTAAACATTGTTAAGGTCCCCTCTCAGTCTTCTCTTCTTGAGACTGAACAGGCACAGCTATTCCTCATAAGAGAGATGCTCCAGCCCCTGCATCACCTTTGCAGCCCTTCACTGGACCTGCTCCAGAAGCTCCTTGTCTCTCTTGTCCTGAGGCCAGAACTGGACACAGCACTTCACATGTGGCTTCATCAGGACTGAGTAGGGTTAGAATCACCTCCCTCAACCCACTGGCAATGCTCTTCTTAACGCACCCTCAGGACACCATTGGCCTTGGCCACAAGAACATGCTGCTGGCTTAAGGACGGATGCTATCTACCAGGACCCCCAGGTCCTTTTCTGCAGAGCTGCTTTCCAGGAGGTCAGCCCCAGCCTGTGCTGGTGCGGGGGGTTCTTATTCCCCAAGTGCAGGATCCTGAATTTAGCTTTGTTGAATTTCCAATGGTTCTTCTCTACCCATCTCTCCAATCTGTGAAGGCTGGGTGCAGGACAAATTCCTACCTGGGACTAGATGTAGACATACACCATGATTCTCCTCTATGTCAACACTGCTGTTCTATGACATTCTTAAAATCAGTAGTTAGAGAAACTAAAGTAAATTTGAATACTAGAGTTGAAAGAACCCAACATAGTTCACATAATACTTCCAAGGACTACACAGGAATAATAAAAATAATTACAAACATTTAATTACAAGCATAGGTACTTTCTAACATCAGAGCTTAAGGAGAAGGAATAAAATATTCTAAAAACCAAGAAATGGAAATGCTTTGGATACCTCCATGTGAGATATATGCTCTCTAGTGTTCGTTATTTTCATAGAATACTGATTCAAAGCATGTGTATTAATAATTGTCTTGTGCTAGTGTATAACTGAGGTTGTACTTTAGGAAATTTCTGAGCCAAATAAAATTCAGAGGGTGATTTTCACAGACAGAGAAATTTAAATTATATTTAGGTTAATGCTATTTTGACCTAGCCTTCCTGAAGTATGTCACTTAAATAACTAAAATCCCATTATATTCATTCCTAAAATGAACCTGCAGATGGGTTATCATTTTTAAACAAAATCTCCTTTAATCCCAAATAAACGACAGGCAAGAATTATATAATTACTGTGCATGTGGCTGGCCTTCAAATTCTGGTACACAACTAAGGACTTATTTTTATTTTTAAACATAGGAAACTAGAGCTGGATAACTGTGCTCAAATTCTGCTGTTCCCTAGAGGTGAACAACAACAGAAACTGAAACTCCACTTGAGAAGAAATCCTGAAAACCTTGTATTTCAAGAAAATATAAATGTTTCTGCTGACTTTTTAGTAGTGAAGAAAAATTCCTCCAGGGTTTCCAGGACAGTAAAGGGCACTCTCCAAGGAGGAGGTGGGAAATTAAATGTCTAAGCACTGCAGCTCCAGCCATTC